CTCCTCTGCAGAGCAACTCTCCTATCTCTTAGGTCACACACAGTATTCTAATTTCACAGCTGATAAAAAAGTGTATATATTTATATGCAGTATGATATGACTAAATGACAACAGTCTCTTCCTGCTCTCACATGGCACATGAACTCAACTAGCCAACCTGGTACAACGGGCCCCTGCCTACTGCCTCTCCTTCTGAACACAGAAAAGTCCTGAAAGCCCAAGAACGCTGAAAATCAGGGCAGCATCTAACATCACAGCAGCAATAGCAGGATTAAACTTTTGGCAAGGAAAGCACTGGCTTCTGAGCGGGAGGTCCCAGAAAAAAAAAGATCCCACTTGGTGTTTGATCAAACTCCACCCAGTGAAGGTGAAATATGAACTGGCTAATGAGCAGCCTAATGCTAATGAGGACGGAGGGAGTATTCCGGGAGGACTAGCATCTTTGATGTGAGGGCTCACAGAACCCCTTTCAGAGCCGCTCATCTACCTTTGGTCCACCTGCCACCCAACTCTTACCTGTGGCTCCATGAAGCAGTAGCATGCACAGCAGCCACACCTCAGTAAACCATCTCAGCAGACGGGCTAAACCAGGTTGAGGGTAACTGACAGGCCTCAAACCCGGCAGTGAGTTAGGGGGATGTCCACCCCAAGCATGTGAAGACTTCCCCCAGAGGAATCAGCAGATGAGAACAATTTGTTCCAATGGCCATGAACGAGACTAAAGCAGATGCGGTGGAGTGCTTAGAGCTCGGTCAGACATCAAAGACACCAATGTCATCCACTGCCTCCCGGGTCATTGCCGGTCATCTTGACTTTGTTTTGCCTTTGGACTTCGATGACTCTGGAAGACAGAGTCTGGCTGAAGACTTTGAGCAACTCTGCCTCACTTAAGTCCAATTCACTCATAAGTCATTGGTCCTTTTCCAAAATGAAAGACCATCAATAACAATAACAACTAATGATGTCCCAATAAGGCCTGAATGTTAGCTTCCCAGTAGACTGTAGTCACTAGCATTGATAAGTCACTGGATTTGGTTCTAATCAACACTATGGTTCTTTATTGCTTGTCATTCCTTTTGATGTAAGAGAATAAAATTCGTGTTCCACACCTGATTCATTTATGTACATCAGGTATCTTTTTTTATTCTCCCCCTTTCTGGAGAGAATCTTTAGATTTTGATCCCATAAACATATCTATAATGAACAACTCTCAATAAATAAAATAAAATTAACAACTCTCTAAGTAGCAACTTTCCCTAGAGTAGCTGGGTGAAGAGTCAATGAATGTAAGACTCAGGGTCCCTACTTTATTTACTGAGAAACTAAGCGACCCCAGAACAATGAACCTAGAGCAAGCAACAACAGCTGGTAGAAGGGATTGGTGCAGGCTGCAAGCTGCTGTGGCCTCAGCTTAGAGGACCTAGAAATCCATTCTCCTAGACTAGACTTTATCTCAAGAGTCAGTTGGATCACTATCTTAGTCCCAAGTCAATGGGGTCATTGTGGCAAGATATGTGTTTCAGCCTTCACAGAATTTATTCCTCCAACTCTTTCAAAATAATAGAAGGACAAAACTATGTAGAAGAATTAACTAAAAAAAAAAGAAAAAGAAAAATTAACTACAGTACTAAGCAGAATATGATACGTGTCAAAGAAAAGTCTAAGCAAAGTGCTATGAGAACTATGAGAAGGGAGATTTGAGAGAGAGAGAGAGCTGGGAGCAGATCAGGGAAATCTTCATATGGAGGTGATAATTGAGTTGGGCTCTGAAGGAAGAGAGAATGTGGAGGAAAAGGTAATGATAGAGAAGATGGAAGGAAGCGTCTACTCCAGGCATATAGTAGCACTATGAACAAGTACGCAGAGGTAAGAGAGACCAAGAAAAGATGACAATGAGTGAACCAGTCTGGGTGACAGAAAATATATGAGCAATAATAATAGTATTTCAGATCTGCATAGTACTTTAAGGTTTACATGGGACTCTGCTCACAACAACCCTGTGGGACAGATAGTGTGAAAAGGAGTGTGAGTTCAGGTTGGAAAGGTGAGATAAGGTCATAAGGAGTCAGATCATAAAAGGCCTTGAATTTGAGGACCAGGAGTTTATGCTTTGTTTGGTAGGTAATGAGGGTCTACTGAGGACTAAGAAGGGTAAGTGACTTGGAAAGTTACATAGGTAGGGTCAGAAGCAGAATTCAAACCTAGATCCTCCAACTCCCAAAAGAGTGCTCTTTCCATTATACCATGTTACCTCCCCCACACTTCATCTAAGGCTTCCAGAAATGTTTCTAATGTGATATGATCAGAGATATATATAAAGAAGACTCCTTGGGCAGCTGTGTGAATGATGGATTGAAGAGAGACCAGATTGTAGTCAAGAAGATAGTTAGAGTCTCTTTAGCTCAAACAGAGCTAAAGTTCTCAGGGGACAACTCAGAAATGTGGTAGTGGGGATTCCTTTCAGGTACCAGTTGGATTAGATGACCACTAAGGTCCCTTTCAGCTCTCAACTTCTATGACTTGGTTATTACAACAGCTAAGGGAGAGAGAGATACAAATCTCAACTAGAAAGGTTGTAGTGAAAATGGAAAAGAAGGAAGTAATATGAGAACTTATTGCAGAAGTGAAGTCAAGAGAATGTGGCAATTTATTTAATGTGGGGGCCAAGGGAGACAGAAGAGTTATCACCCCTGGGTGATCAGAAGGCTGGTGGTACCATAAATGGCAGCGTAATACATGGCGGGAAGGGTAGGTTTAAGGGAAAGAGTAAGTTTCAGACATATTGAGTGTAAGGTATCATCATGACACCTAGACACCTAAATGGAGACATCAAGAAGGCAGATGGAAATATAGAACTGGAGATCTCACAGGAGGTGCCTTGTGGAGATACAAATCGGGGGGTCATCTGCATAGAGGGGATAATCAAAGCCATTGGAATAGATGAGGAAGTATAAAGCAAGAGTCAAGAGGTCTGTGAAATTAGATGGGGGAAAAATCTATCTTAATTTTAAATAACCTGTAACTGAAATTTACCATTCTCTTCAATTATGAATTTTTTAAATAAATATTATTCTGAGAGGAGATCTATTGGCTTCACAAGACTACCAAAGGAACCAATGACACAAAATGGCTAAGAACCCCTGATACAGAAAGACAAAAAAAAGCCAAGAGCAGAATACTTATGGGAGACTTGGAAGAAGTATTGGGTGGAGGGGGGAGCAGGTATCTCTTCATTTGGTGATTCCTTCCCTTAGCATCTGGTGAGAGTCTATACTATAAGGGGAATGGCCTTAGGATCTTCTCATTGTCTGAAGTCTTATGGCTCCTAAGAAACGGGCTTTGGTCCTTGGCCCTTTTATTTGCTCTTTCCCATTCTAGGTAAAGGTTGTAGACTTTCTAACCTTGGGAGTTACAAAGGTCAGGAAAGATATCCACAGAAATTTGAAAGTCAGAATCCAAGTCAGGTTTTTCAATCAACATCAATGCCCCAAGGAACAAGAAATGATTATGCTCTTCAGGAAGGACCTTTGACACTGCCCAGCATAGAGACTCACCTGGCAATCAGACCAATTTGGACCTGAAATTGGTAGGATCAGTGCTATAAAGGAACGGAGCTAAGTTTTAAGACTACTCTCACAAAGACCAAAGTATATGAAATAGGATACATGAAGATATAAGATATATGAGAGCATATATCCTGGAGGTATTGGGGGGAAAGTTTGTACATTTGTTTTTGCTGTATTTTTGAAGTAAATGTACTTTGTAAAAGATAAAATAAAAGTGGGATGAAATAACGGTGGAAAAGTTCTGGAGTCAGAGCATCTGGGTTCAAATCCTGTCTCTGACACATAGTACCTATGCAATCTTAAGTAAGTCACAAGCTTTCTGGTCCTCAGTTTCCTCATCTGTAAAATTAAGAGATTGGGCTAGTTAGCCTTTAAGGTCCCTTCCAACTCTAAATCCATGATCTTCTTGTTCCAAAGCAGTTCTGTTATGGTGGCATGAAGTAATTCTTGCAGATTTCATGACCTATTCTATTCTTGTTCTAAGTTGGTTATCCTCCTTATATCAACTATCATCTGGTTCTTTCCAACAGGAGGAAAAGGAAGTTCAACCACTATGGACTATAAATCATCATTTCCCTTGTTAAAAGGAAAATTCTTTATTCAGGTTTTTGCCCTGATTAACAAGGCAAAACTCAGGAAAAAGAGAATTAAAAGAGCTTATTAAAAATACATCAAGTTAGCAACACATGGATGGACTGATCACTGGAGATCAACAAGGGTTTCATGATGGAGCCAGCTTTTACTGATAATTTTCAGAATGAGATAAAGACAACTTGAATAGGTCTGCATCAGTAAAAGTGGTTGGGCCATTGCATCTCAGCTCCTCCCCAACTGCCTTTATGGGATGTTTAATAGAGGGTGATAGTAACAAGTAGGGATAAGTGCTAAACAACAGGTCATAGAGTGATGCCTCCCCCAACACTGATTTACAAGCAGGACTAGGAACAATGGGTCACTGAGTCAGTATAACTTTTTTTTAAATTTTAAATAACATCTTTTCCCAATTACATGTAAAGACAATTTTTTGACATTCATCTTTTTTAAATTTTGAGTTCCAAATTTTCTCTCTCCCTCTCTCATCTCCTCCCTCCATAGTAGGCAATTTGATATAGGTTATACATGTACAATCATGCAAAACATATTTCCATATTAGTCATGTTGTGAAAGAAGACACAGACCCAAAGGAAACACACACACACCACACACACAGAGTGAAAAATAGCATGTTTCAGTCTGTATTCAGACACCATCAGTTCTTTCTCTGGATGTGGACAGCATTTTCCATCACGAGTCCTTTGTAATTGTCTTTGATCATTGTATTGCTGACAACAGCTAAGTCAGTCACCGCTGATCATCATACAATATTGCTGTTACTGTGTACAAGCTTCTCCTGCTTCTACTCGCTTCACTTTGTATCAGTTTGTGTAAGTCTTTCTTGGTTTTTCTGAAATTAGCCTTCTCGTCATTTCCTATAGCACAATAGTATTTCCATTATAGTCATATACCACAATTTGTTCAGCCATTCCCCAGCTGATGGGCATCCGCTCAATTTCCAATTCTTTGCCACCACCAAAAAAAAAAAAAGCTGCTATAAATATTTTTGTAAAAATAGGTCCTTTTCCCTATTTTATGATCTCTTTGGGCTATTTGAGATAGCAATGGTATTGCTGGATCAAAGGGTATACACGGTTTTATAGCCCTTTGGGCATTGTTCCAAACAGCATAATTTTCAATACCCTGCAGTCTCATTCAGCATTCTAAGCCCTGACTAAATTCTTTTTCTATTTGAAAACCTTTTACTCTACTTGGGTAGGCCTCAAGGAACACTGAACTCCTAGAGAAAGGAGAGTAACCTGGAACTGGAGTATATACTATGATAACAAAACTGTGTTCAGGATAATATAGAAGGTTGGAACGAACCTCAAAGGAGGAGAGATTACAAAGCGATAGTGGCAAAGGAAGTAGCAAGGAGGTAGGAAGACAGCAAGGAATGGCTGTGAATTCCTCTTGGCCTCCTGTGTTAAGATTTTAAAGTAGGAGCAAGCTACATTAGAAAGGACTGCCACATTAGAAAGGGATGCATTTTCTTCCTGAGAGAGCCAGAAACACCAGATTCAAAGAGCCTAAGATAAACATGTAGAAGATGAAAGGGTATTTGTTGACAATAGAGATATAATGGCATTCTCTCCTCCCATTTGAACTCTTACCACATCAGGGCTCTTATCTCTGCTGAATATAGATCTGCCTTCCCTGGTTCCAGATGCTGTTGTCTCCAGCTTCCATTGAAGAGCTTAATCCTCACCTACTCACCTTTCTGTACTGGGGAAGCCTTGAAGAAAAGATGAAAATTGTGGGAAAACATAATTATGATAATTATAAATATGGATGTTGAAGACAGAAAGATTTCAATCTTTCCATAATGCTGTATTCTACTTTTTACCATACCTAGAAAGCATACTATGAGGTTAAGTTTTATAACCATGATCACTTAGAGAATCCTAAATGATTCTGGTCATTTTAAATTTACTTTATAGATGTACGGTGTCCAGAATTACATTTCCAATTCAACATTTTCTATTGCTTGGCAGAAGTCCCCAGATGGAAAGAAAAGAATTCTAAAAAAAATGGGTAAAACTCGAGCTTTCCACATTGAATTTCTTTTTTAAATGTAATTCTTTTTGTTGAATATTTGCCTCTGTGAACTCTATTTCAGTGGTTAACAATTTAGAAATTAAAATGTGATTTTTTTTTTGTATCGTCCAATAGTCATACAGCCCATTTTTACCAAACCACACTGGTTCTGGGTTTAAAGTTTCTAAATTTAGAGGGTTTTGATGGCATAATCATTCAGTAATGTGGTTTGGTTCATGCTATTGTTATCACCCACCCAAATTCCTATGTTAACCTCAGAAGGGCTTTCTGCTTATTCTAAGCTGTGCTGTCCTTTTGCTTCCTATGTAAGGCTTGGCATTTTATTTTGTTTTGTTTTGTTTTGTTTTGAATCATCTTAGGAGCTTGGAATTAAGCACAAACGAAAAATACAAAGCTTCATACTACTAGCAGAATTCTTTATTTAACATCCAACCAAGGAGAGGAGGCCCAGGTATCAGCAGACTAAAGTAGACTTCTTTACCAACCTTGCCTGTTTCCATCCCAGTCACCATGGCCACCAAACCCTTCGTTTTTTTCTCCCCCTGAAATTGCTTTTTCCCTCTTTGCTCGTTGTATAACTTGCTCACAAAAGTGACCCAGTTTGCTTGGCAAGATCTGATTTTTTTTTTTTATAAACTCACACTGCTTTTACTGGTCACGATTCTCTCGTGGATGTTTAGAGAGTCTCTCTTAGTATTTGTTCCGCTGTGTTGCTAAGCTTAGGACTGATAGCTTTCTCACCAGCTGCTCCTTTGCAGGCTCCCTCCTCACTGTAGCAGATCTGGGACATATTTGCCTTTATGCAGTGGTTTGCTATCTCAATAGTTATCTTTAAAATAGATTTTAAAAAAATTATTTCCCCAAAATATGTATATTATATATTATTTCCAAGATAAAATTGACACTCGGACTGACAGGTTTTTTAAAAATAGGCTAATTTGCTCTAATTAACAGGGATGAGGTGGGGAGAGAAAAGCAGAATTTGTAAGAACTATGAATTATAGAAGATAATTAAAGAAATGTCCTTTTACTTTCAAGTACATGTAGTACCTAGACCCTCATTTTCCTCTGTAAAGTGGGGATAATAGATGCTATCATTTCTACATCAAAGGATTATAGCAAGGATCAAATGAGATAAAATATTACAATGACCAAGCTTAGCCCCAAAGAAGAAATATGAGAATACACCTACCTTCATTCTTTGCAGAGGTAGGGGACTACAGGTGTAGAACATTACATAGAACAATCAATGGATCAACAAGTATTTATTAAGCACCTATATATACCAGGTACTATGGAAGGTATTGCTGTTCAGTCATTTCCGTTGTGTCCCACTCTTTATGACCCCATTTGAGGTTTTCTTGGCAAAGATACTGGAGTAGTTTTCCATTGCCTTCTCCAGCTCATTTTACAAAGAAAGAAACTGAGACAAACAGCATTAAGTGACTTACCCAGGGTCACAAAGCTAGGAAGCATGTCTGAATGTGGATTTGAGCTCAGATTTTCCAGACACCAGGCCCAGTGCTCTATTCACTGCGACATCTAGCTGGATACAAATACAATGAACTAAATAATGCCTACTAGGAAGGAGTTGAGAGAAATTATTAGTTCTCTCTCATATTAATAGCCAGTTATTGAGGAGATTCCAGTTTTTTTTTTTCCCTGTCCTATTTCCTTGTCTAAAGGAATGGGCTGATGGAAGGTGAGATTAACGTTCTCCTCATTCAGGGTATTGCTATTCCACCCAACTCAAGCTCAGATGGAGGATACAGATTTTTTGCCTAGATTGCATAAGGCTGGGGCAGCTAGGTGGCACAGTGGATAGAGCACCGGCCCTGGATTCAGGAGGACCTGAGTTCAAATCTGGCCTCAGACACATAACACTTACTAGCTATGTGGCTCTGGGCAAGTCACTTCAGTCCAATTGCCTTACTTTAAAAAAAAAGAAAAAAAGAAAAAGAAATAAATTGTGGGGGTGGTCTAAGCATAGGGATAGTCTCTCTGGCCAAGAGTGATGTGAGGTCACTCTCAGCCCCTCCTTGGAGTTGGCTCACTTCTCTTTGTAAAGTCCACCTCTCATCAATTGTTAACTAATCAGAGTTAATTGCCACTCTCCAGCACACTCCTCTTCCAAAAGGCATATAAGCTGTTAGCCCACTGCCATGATTATCTTTGGCATTCTAGAGGGCCACTGACCTCTTTTTATTAAAATGCTGGCATTATTAATAAAATGACTAATTACCCAGAAATTATGTCTCTCAAACTTTTTAAATGTCACAGAGTTTATATTCTATAGAGGAGACAAAAAGTATATGTGTATATAAAAGCTATATATAATATAAATATTTACTATTTATCTGTATTTTAAAATAAAAATATATTATATTTATGAATAAATAAAACATAAATGTTAGCATGTGTACAACAAACATATAAAACTCAATACAAAGTACCTAACTACAAGTTTTTGTTGTCATTGTTGTTTGTCCTTCATTTCCAAAGCAGACCAATGACATCACCCTGTGTGTGAACTGGATTTAAGTGAGGCAGAGTTGCATAAAGTCGTCAGCCTCACTATCTCTTCCGGAATCATTGAAGTCTAGTGGCAAGACAAAAGTCACTGGTGATGGCCCAGGATGCAGTGGATGACATTGGTGTCTTCGATGTCTGACCAAGCTCTAAGTGCTCAGCAGCTTATGGGGTGCATGGGGTGTTCAGGGAGGACTGGCACCTCTGGTGAGAAGGCTCACGGAGCCCTTTTCAGGGCTGCTCATCCACCTTTGTGTCCACCTTCACCCAACTCTTACCTGTGGCTCCAAGAAGCTGTAGCATGGGCAGACCTGGGTAAACTGCCTCTGCAGATAGGCTAAACCAGGCTGAGGGTAAACCAACAGGTCTCAAACTCATTGGTGAGTTAGGAGGATGTCTTCCGCAAGCATATGAAGTCTTCCCCCAGCAGAATAGGCAGATGAGAACAATTAGTTCCAACAACCATGAATGCTGCTACCTACAAGTAATTTATGAGGGAAGAAGGCATCAGCAGTTAAAGATCGGTCAGGATCCATGTGCCTGACTCTGTCTTATATGAATGTCAGACCTGGTTGATGTGCTGGTTAGTTTTGACAAATTGTTGTTTTTTCCTCTTTTTTTTATTTTTATAAGGGTTGGCTCTCAGGAAAAGAGACAGAGGATAGAGGATACAGAGTGGATGGGTGACTTAGCTAGAATAGAGAACCTCCAGGTAAGAAACTACTCCCTTCAGCAAAGCAGGTCAGTAAAAACCTTCTCTGGGGGCAGCTAGGTGGTGCAGTAGATAGAGCACCGGCCCTGGATTCAGGAGGACCTGAGTTCAAATCCGGCCTCAGACACATAACACTTACTAGCTGTGTGACCCTAGGCAAGTCACTTAACCTCATTGCCTAACCAAAAAAAAAAAAAAAAAACAAAAAACCAAGCTTCTCTGCAACTTACTGTCTTAGCAAGCTCCTTCTGGCCTTAGGATGCCTTTACACTTAAAAATGATTGTGGACCCTCCACCCACACAAAGATTTTTGTTTATGTGGGTTATAGCTATCAGTATTTGTGTTTGAAATTAACATGTCTGGGTATTATTATCAAAATAATTTTGACCTCCAGGATCCCAGGAAAGAGTTTCAGGGACCCTGGAGGTTCCTGGACGCCACTGAAAACCTCTGAACATTTAACACAGAGAGGTTAAATAACTTGCCCCCAGGGTCCCTCAACCAGTATATGTCAGAGGCAGGACTTCAACCCAGGTCATTCTGGCTCTCTACTCACTGTAACACACTCCCTCTCTTTTTAAAACAAGGGAAAACCAGTTTTTAAAAATTTTAAGCAAGAATTTGAGAAAACGTAAAGTGCTTTGTAAACTATTAAACAAGCATTTATTTATTAAGTACTCACACTGTACAGAGCATAAATCTAGGCATTGGGAATACCCTAAGTTTAGATAAGACACAGTCCCTGCCCTTCAGGTGCTTTCAGTCCAGTAGGGAAATAAGACACAAACTCATATGATTATACTACGTGACAAAGTGAAAGCCAGTCTTTTTTTTTTTTTTAAAGGCAGTTGGGGTTAAGTGACTTGCCCAGGGTCACACAGCTAGTAAGTGTCAAGTGTTTGGTCTGAGGCCGGATTTGAACTCAGGTCCTGCTGACTTCAGGGCCAGTGCTCTATCCCCTGTGCCACCTAGCTGCCCCCAAACCCAGTCTTAAAACCCAATGCATGGGATGTTGATCTCCATCAATAAGGAGACAGTCCCATACCAATGGGCTTTGGGACTGCAGTTACAAATGCATTAAAGAGTTGGAATTCTATGAGAGATCCGTGGACTAAAGTTGCTACCAACTCTGAGGATCAAGAAAGGCTTCGTAGAGAAGGAGCCCTATGGTCTGGACTCCTAAGGATCGATGGTTATTTATTCATCAAACAAAGGGAGAAGGGACATTCCAGCCACAAGGAACAACCTGAGTGAGCAGAAGTCTGAAGTCATGGAAGGACACTGTGTACCAAGGGGCAGACAGACGCTTGTCTAGTTGGGCTGGGGTATCAAGTGCATGGAAGGGAAGCCACTGCATGACTTCCACACTAACCTCACTCTCTTTTTCAACAGTTACCAGACAGGCAGACCAGAGCAACACAAACACAGGTTTACCTAGATTTTAGCAAAGCATTTGGTCAAGTATCTCATGTTATTCTCATAGAATAAACGGGAAGGTGGGGGCGACAGGATAACACTATTAGGTGATTTCAGAAATGGCTGACTTGCTGGACCTGGGAATTGGTCGTTAACGGGACAATATCATTTTGGAGGGAGATCTCCAACAGAGTGTACCAGGAACCAATGCTTGTCCCTGAGCTGTTCAATATTGTTAACTAATGACTTGAAGACACAGTTGGCACATCTATCAAACTGGCATATGATACAAAGGTAGAAGGAATCAATAGCGTGCTAAATGACCGTTACAAAGATCTTGATGGGCAAGAACACTGGAATGAATCTAAAAAGAAAAAAAAACTTTTTAAAAATTTTATTGACATCTTCTGTTTTAATGTTACCTTCATTTCCAAATATCTCTCTTCCTCCTCCCCTCCCCCAGAAAGCCATCCCTTGTAAAAAGAGGAGAGACAGACAGATAAAAAGGAGAGAGAAGAGGAAGCAGTTCAGCAAAAGTAACCAATCAATCTATCAATCGATCAAGGCTGAGAGCATGCGAAACATTCCACACCCATAGTCTTCCATCTCTGAACTGAAGGTAGGTAAATTTTCTCATCTCTTCTTCAGGTCCAAGCTTGGTCATTATAATGATACAGGGTTGTTTCAGATAGCTTTTGTTATTGTTGTTTCCATTTCCATTGCTGTCGTCTTAGTAGATATTGTTTCCCTGACTCTTACTTCATTCTGTATCAGTTCATATATGTCTTCTCATGCTTCTCTATATACTTCATGTTCATGGCTTCTCCCAGCCCAGCAAGATTCCATTATATTCATGTACCACATTTTCTTCAGCCAGGCCCTAGTCATTGGGCAGCTAGGTGTTACCATAGTGATAGAGTGACCTGGAGTCAGGAAGACTCATCTTCATGAGTTCAAATCCGGCTTCAGACACTTCCTACCTGTGTGACCCTGGGCAAGTCACTTCACCCTGTTTACCCCAGTTTCCTCATCTGTAAAATGAGCTGGAGAAGGAAATGGCAAACCACTCCAGTATCTTTGCCAAGAAAACCCCAAATGGGGTCACAGAAAGTCAGACACAGCTGAAATGACTAAATAACAATGATCACTGGGCACTTATTCTGTTTCCAGTTCTTTACTTTAAAAAAAAGGTTTGGGGTTTTTTTTTTTTAAGTGATCACATAAGTATTTTTATGTATATAAGACCTTTATTTCTATCTTTGACCTCCTTGGGTGATATGTCTGGCAGTGTTATCTCTGACTCAAAAAGAATGGAAATTTTTGTCATGCCTTAGCATAATTCCAAATTGCTTTCCATAATGGTTCAACCACTCACAGCTTTACCAACAATGAATATATATTGACTCCAAAAAGGCATAATCACAAATATACAAACTTAATCCCCCACCATAAACCACCTCCCACCCTCCCTTTGCATCACCTCAGTTTCTAGGGAGAGAAAGGGAATAAGGTTAGCTGGGCCCCCATAGGGTTCAAGTCACAGGCACCCTGTCTTCTCAGGGTTTCCATCTCACCTGTAACACTGGTTCCAAGGTTATCATAGCTTGAACACCTGGTCCAGTAAAGATCACCTTGGACTTCTGAACCTGAGGAGAACAAACAACACAGGACAGAAACCCCTTGACTCATTTCTCAGAGCCTGAGTAAAAGAGGGAACAAGGAGGGGAAAGTCCTTCCCTTCTCACCAGTTATGTTCATGGCATCCTGGTTGTGGGTGAACTGGAATGTTCACCTTCTGGACACAGCAGATAGTTGTCCCTGAAAAGAGCACAGCAGAAAGAGGGTGGAAAAGGGTAGAGCCTAAAAGAGAAACCAGCTCAGTCTAGCCAGTTCTAAAGACAGGCAGCCAATCAAAGGAGGCTACCCCCTCCCTCACCCATTTGGTAGGGGATGAAAGGATCTCCATTTTAGGTCACTGGGACATATTCCAAAGGCCCCTCAAGGACACCTCCATATTAGAAATGGGCATGCCCAGAGAAGCCTGGGTTACATGACATTGTATTCAGTTCTGAAAGCCACATTTTAATAAAGGCATTAATAAGGTTGAAAGCATCCAGAGGAAGGTGTCCAAAATTGTGAAGGGCCTTAACTTATGAAGATTGGTTGAAGGAATTTTTTGTCTGGAGAAAAAAAAAAAAGACTCAGAGAACATATGATGAGAGGGATCAGTCTTGCTGTGTTTACCAATAGATAGAAGTTGCAAAGAGCCAAATTTAGTCTTGACATCAGGAAAAACATCCTGAGCTATTCGAAATGAAAGAAGGAAACAAGCACTAATTAAGCTCCTACTGTGTGCCAGGCACTGTGCTAAGAGCTTTACAAATTTGATCCTTACAACTACTCTGGGGAGGTAGGTGCTATTATTATCCCCATTTTGCAGATGAGGAAACCAAGGCAGACAGCATGTTTAAGGTCACACAGTATCTAAGGCTGGATTTGAACTCAGGTCTTCCTGACTGGAAGCCTCAGGAAATGTTACCCTGTACTTGAGGTCTTCGAGGGAAGGCTAGATGACCTCTTGTCAGATGTGTTTGAGAGGAGATTCCAGTTCATCTAGAGTTTGGATTAGATGACCTCAGAGTTCTCTGCCAAATTCTGTAGTTCCAGTTGCAAGTCAATTTGGCAAATACTTTTAGATTACTTCTTGTTGTTCAGTCACTTTAATCATGTCTGACTCTTCATGACCCCATTTGGGGTTTTCTTGGCAGAGATACTAGAATGGTTTGCCATTTCCTTCTCCAGCTCATTTTACAGATGAGGAAATGGAGGCAAATGAGGTGTAGTGACTTGCCCAGGGTCATATAGCTAGTATGTGTCTAAGGCCACATTTGAACTCAGAATCATCCTGACTCCAGGCCTGGCACTCTGTGCACTATGGAGCCCCCTAGCTGATTCATTACTCTAATTTGTGTATTCTTATGATGAGGTACTTTATGCCACTCTGCGCATGCAAGTCATTATTGGAGAAAGCTACAGCCTACTTAAACTCGCCATGTATCTTTCCAGTACCTTTTTGGTGGTCTGCAATTTTGATTCACCTGAGATTGGGATGTCCTATAATTCTTAGCCACATAGCATCACCTGAAAAATTTTGGTTTGCAGTCTAAACCTACAATTTTCATCAGTATAGGAATTTCTCCATGGAAATTTCCCCTACAAATACAGATATACAACTCTCCCATAATTTAAAGTCTTTATGAGTTGCCTAGGGTACTGACAGGGTTAATGACTTACCCAGGGTCACATAGCAAATACATGTCAAGATTAGAACCTGAGCTCAGATCTTCCTTACTCCAAGGCCAGGATACTATCCATTTCCCTATGGAGATCATTGGCATTCAAAAACTGGCTTTTAGCTGTGAAAAAGCTAAACAAATTGTGATATACAGATACAAAGGAATATCACTGCATATTGAGGAAAGAATTCTGAAGTGGAAGACTTGTACGTGATCAGAAAAACCACAGACACAATGATTTTGATGTAAATTAAGACAACACAAAAAGACAACAAAATTTAGGTGGTTCACAATGATCAATGTTGGTTCCTTCCAACTGGTGTCAAAGCATATTTTATTGTTCATTATTTATTGTTATTTCATAACCTTTCATTATGAAATTATGAATGTAGAATGTTAAATGTGCTGTAAGTCCCAGTCACCACGGCAGGTGTCTTTGCTTAGCTTGTATCTTTTAAAGGGAATATATTGGGGCAGCTAGGTGGCTAAGTGGATAGAGCGCTGGGCCTGGAGTCAAGAAGAACTGAGTTCAAATCCAGCTCACACACATACTAGCTGTGTGACCCTAGACAAGTCACTTAATCTCTATTTGCCTGGAAGGCAGTTAAGTGGTTTGATGGATAAAGTGCTGAACTTGGAGGTAGGGAGACCCGAGTTCAATTCCAGCCTTAGACACATACTAGCTGTGTGTTCCTGGACAAGTCACTTAACCTGTTTGCCTTAACCACTGGAGAAGAAAATGGCAAACCACTTCAGTATCTCTGCCAAGAAAACCCCATGGACAGTATGATATAGGGGGTCACAAAGATTTGGACACAGTTAAACGACTGAACAACAAATGAGGCTACTGGGAAACAGCTGTATCAAAACAAAATATATCAATAAAAATTAAAAAAAAATAAAAGTCAAGGAGAGAAGTAAAAATATTGTTATTCCAATAACTAAATCTTCCAATAGACAAAACTAAAATAAATTTCAGACAATTTATAGCAAAATACTTTATATAACCTTATATAAGACCAGACATCATTAGAACATAATGTAGCCTGGAGTATAAAAATGCAGATTTGAAAAACGGACAATCTGATGAACTGAACGTTTGAATATTAATTGGATATTAAATGTTAATTTTTTTATCTGAATATTCATTATCAGATATTACTCATCTGAGAAGCAAAACAAGATCTCTTATTTCCAAATTTGAAAAATAAAAGTTCAAAAAACTAAAAAGACAAGCTTATGTAACAGGGTACAACTTGTACAATGCTTTCTCTGATACTGTTATTGTTGAGTTGTTTTTCAATTGTATCTGACTCTTCATGACCCCATTTGGAGTTTTCTTGGCAGATACTGAAGTGGTTTGCCATTTCCTTCTCTGGTTCATTTTACAGATGAGGAAACTGAGGAAACAGAGTGAAGTGACTTGCACAGGGTCACACAGCTAATAAGTGTCTGAGGGCACATTTGAACTCAGGTCTTCCTGACTCCAGGTCCAGAGCTCTATCCACTGCACCACTTAACTGCCCCCTGCAATACTAGTTTCTTAAATATGATTCAGCTCACTGACCCTGTCTTGTTAAATTCTGGGTCCGGCTCATTGTTCATTTGTTCATGCCCTATCTATCTAAGAAACCACCTTGAACCTTGGAAAGAACCTTTAACCTGAAGTCACCGAACCCGAGTTCAAATCTTGACTCTGCTACTTGTTAGCTGTGTGACCTTAAACAAGTGACTTTACCTCTCAAGGTCTCAATTTATACACCTATAAAATAAAGATGACAGGGGCAGCTAGGTGGCGCAGTGGATAGAGCACTGGCCTTGGAGTCAGGAGGACCTGAGTTCAAATCTGGCCTGAGACACATAACACTTACTAGCTGTGTGACCCTGGGCAAGTCACTTAACCCCGACTGCCTCACCCAAAAAAAAAAAAACAAATGAAGATGATGGACTAGACAACCTTTAAGATCCCTTCCCATTGTAAAGCTATGACCCTATATGATAGCTAGCATTTATACAGTGCTTTAAGATTTGGGAACTCAAAAGCTTATGGAAGTGATTGTTGATAAATCAAAATAAATTAATAAAGGAAAAAAAATAAGTAGAGAAAAAAAAATTTTTTTAAACTGTCCAAAAAAAAAAAAAAGATTTGCAAAGCATTTTACATGTTTTTTCATTTGATCCTCACAACTACCATATGAAGCGGATGTTATTATCATCATCATCATAATTAACATAAGAACCTACTATGTGCCAAGCAATTTACAATTATTACATCATCATTTCCATCCTCACAATAACCTTGGGAGGTAAGTGCTATTATTATTATCCCCATTTTTTTTTTTAGGCAATTGGGTTAAGTGACTTGCCCAGGGTCACACAGCTAGTAAGTGTCAAGTGTTTGGTCTGAGGCCAGATTTGAACTCAGGTACTCCTGACTTCAGGGCCAGTGCTCCCACGCCACCTAGCTGCCCCTTATTATCCCCATTTTACAGATAAGGAAACTAAGGCAAACAGTAAGTGACCTGCCCAGAGTTACATAACTAGTAAATATCTGAGACCAGATTTAAACAACAGCACATGCATCAGGGATGTCTTTGATGAAGATATCAGAAGGGAACAAGTAGTTTTGCAAATGATACTCCAGAGCTGACCACATCTTGACTATCACACAACTGATTGAAAGGTATAGCAAGTACAAGATCCCACCGTGCACGTTATTTGTTAATAATAAAAGAGAATTCAATTGAGTGGAGCAAAATGTCACCTTAAAAGCTCTTCTCCAGTAAGGTCTCTTCCAATCATATGAGAAAATCATGCCAGATTGCTTGAAAGATATAACGATAGAGGTAACCTTGTTAAATGATTCTCTAATTATTGATATTAAGTGAGGTATAACACAGGGAGATATGATCTGAAAGATGTTCACCACTTTTACTGTGAAAATCCTGTTCAGGGTCTAATACTCGAATACTTCCATTTGAAAATGACTTTGTACTAATTGTATCAAGCTCTACAACACTACAGAGCCTCCTAAACGAAATCAGTAAGCTCCCACGAGAGTTGAAGTAATTATCCACACAGGAAAAACCAAGTGGATGAAAAATACCTATCTTCCAAAATGCGGAGTTATATGGACAATTTACAGAGCTCATCCAGTAGTGCAAACACCATGGTTAGACAATGAACCAAGTCTAGAATTGAACCAAATGGGGATCAAATGACAACAGATTTAAAGCTAAACCTCAGAGAGTATTTGATCTAGTTTCCTCATTTTGCAGATGGGGAAATCAAGGCTCAGCAAGGATAAGGGACTTGCCCAGAGTCATATGGCTAATAAGTATCAAAGGAAA